TTCCTGTGTTGTCTCTTATTATCTCCAATAGAACTGACTATATCATCAGACATAGTATAATTGAATATGTCTGTACATAACATTAATAAAAAACACAACTTTGTATATAGTATAGAACTTCAAAAACTGGCAGTTATCAAACCAGAATGTGTATTGTAGAGTCTTGCTATCTTCAGTGTAGTTGCCTATACTCTCAGACTTGATACTATCAATCATATCAGTTTTGAATAAAATTTTCTCTGCCTCATTTCTGTTATGCTCTTTTTTTTTGCCATTAGTTGTCTGCTTATCTTCTTCATTCTGTTTTCTGTTCCATTCATTGAGGCCTCTCTGCCACTGTTCCTGGAATCCTAGTACTTTTCTCTTTCTCTAGAATGCCCTGGAATATTCTCTGCAGAGTTGGATTGGTGGTTGCAAATTTCCCAAATTTTTCTCTTTGTTTTGGAAGCATCTTGTTTCTCCATTAATTTCTAGAGACACTTTAGCAGGGTATATCAATCTGGGATGGAGGTTATTTTCTTTCAGGGCTTGGAATATTTTGCCCCAGGCTCTTCTTGACTTGATAGTTTCTGTCGAGAAGTCTGCCATGATTCTGATGGGCCTTCCTCTGTAGGTTATCTGTTTCTTGTCTCTAACAGCTTTTAATATTCTGTTCTTATATTGAATTTCTGAGATCTTGATTATTATATGTCTGAGTGTAGCTCTGTTTTGGTTGTAGGTGGCTGGAGTTCTGTATGCCTCATATATCAGAATATCATTTCCTTTTCCTATGTTTGGGAAGTTTTCCTTAATTATTTCTGTGAATAACCTTTGTAGTTCCTTTGTTTGTATCCCAGCTTCTTCATTTACATTCTTTATTCTCAAGTTATAAATCCTTTTGTCATCTTCTAGCCTTTGTATTATTACTGCTTGTTTCCTTGTTATTTTAAAAAAGTTTTCCCTTTCATACTCCCACACTGCAAAATTGTCCTCCAGTTTGGATAGTCTACCTTTAGTTTCTTTCAAGCTAATTTGCCATCTTTCCATAGAGTTTTAAATTTCCTGGTGATCTCTTTGAATCTGCTTCATGTATTCTGTATTTTTTTTTTTTATATTCTTCACCAAATGGTTCTCTCCTGTGTTTGAGTTCCTCCCTTCTTCTGTCTGTGTGTGCTTGAGGGGTGCTTAGTATCTCTTTTATTAATCTTCTTATATCTTGCTTTTTTTAGCTAAATATTTCACTTTTGAACTCATCTATGAGGCCCCAAATATATCTCTTTATGTCCACCTGCACTGTGTCTGATATTGCATGTTTGCTGTTCTCATTCTCCTTTGTATTTACCTGTCCTGGGTCAGTGTTCTCTTTGTATTTACCTGTCCTGGGTCAGGGTTGGGGCCTGGGGACTTTTTGTTGTTGCTTCTTCTTCCCATCTTTTTTGCTTCTTCTAGGAGGCCCTGGTTTCTTTCTTTGTTGGTTACAATTCTTCTAAAGCACGCTGGCTAGATGATTCTTCACACTGCAGTGTGCTAGTGAGTTGCAGACAGGGACAGTGTATGCCAGCCCCTCCCCTCCAGATCAGTCAAGCTGCTATGGCCTGCACCACTGTATTACTTTGCCCTGCCTCCCCTCTGGATCAGTCAAGGTGCTGTGGCCTGCACCACTGTATTACTTTACGCCGCCTCCCCTCTGGACCAGCCAAACCTCCGAGGTCCCACTGGGCCAGTGAGGTTAGTGTGCACCATTGCTGCAGGGACTTGACCTCAGATAACCTATTGGGTCTCCACCAGGTCACGTGACCCAGGCCTAGCTCACTCCACCAATCCTGTTTGGGAAGGGAACAATTGACTGAAGTCACTGCTGCCCCTTGTACTTGCCAGTCCTGCCTGGTCCCAGAATGTCATCCACTGGAGCCCCCCCATTTATGGAATGGCTCCACTCTCATCACTCACACAGGTCGATGTAGGCTCCCCACCAACTCAGCTCTCCATTTGGCTTGCTGACCCCTGAACTCAATGTAACTGTGTCTCCAGTGAGTCGAAGTGGCAGGACCTCGGACGGCTCAGCAAGTCGCGGCGGGATCCTGGCAAGTCATGGCATTGACCAGTTGCGGTGGGACCTCGGATGGTCAGCAAGTTGCCTTAATTTCTTCTTGGTACAAGAGAATTCATCTCCCTCTGTTTGGGGCTCCCCAACCTGTATTATGTTGAATTCTAAGTTGACTATCTCAGGGAGCTTCTGTAGCCAGTTGTTATCTATCCGCCATCTTTGCTCCTCTCCCAGTGCAGATGATCTAACCTTTCAGTGCAGATCTTTGGCTTTGTAACATAGAGTCCCACCAGACTGCAGTGACTTCAGCCTTACCTGGATCTTCTGGGCCACAGGGGAGCACAAGTGGTCACCTTGTGTTCTTCCATCCCTGATTCTGCAAACGGTCATTGTAAACCATTTAAACCCTTTGATGGATATGTTATGGCTACACCCCCTGCATGAGGAACTGGCCTCTGGCTATTGGTTATTGGATGTGCCCATAGCATTGGGCTGTTTATGCTTCACAGGGCCCAATGGCCTGTGCTGTCTCTCACTCTGTAGGAGGGTTTATTCACAACCTGTTCCTCCTTGATGAAGCACATCAAGTCCTAAGTAGCCCACTTGCTGTGGTGGAAATGAAGACTCTGTCTCTGAACACTTGGGCCACTAGCTCAACCTGTGAGTGTCTTGTAGCCTTAGATTACGTAGCTCCCTATTCATGCCAGTATGTGCTTAACCAGACCACAGATGTTTTGGGATCTCAGATGGTAGACAGTTAGCAAATATTTCTTGTTAATTACAAGAAATTGATGTACCCCCAAATGGAGTACTCCCTGAGAGAGCTGTAAAATTTCTAAACTCGTTCTGGTATACGTTTCTTCATATTGTTTAGTTTTCTTTTTTCTTTTTCTTTTTCTTTTTTGCTAAATCTTCAGAGTTACATATTGTTTAGTTTTCAATCTGCGGTTTGTAGCTGTAGTGAGTGGAAACCTGAAGCTTATTTGCACAGTACACTTTGTATCAAGCTGCTTGAGATCCAAAGCAAGACTCCACAGATCTTTATTTTCTCACAGTGCTGGAGGCTGAAAGTCCAAAACCAAGGTGCTGTCAGGGGATTCTGGTCAGAACCGTCTTCCTGCCATGCAGATTGACACTGTCCCGCTCTGTCCCCCATGACCTTTCCTCTGCCTGAGCGCAAGGAGAGTGTTCTCTGGTGTCCTTCCTCCCCCCCCCCACCTTTGGTGCTCTCTGTCTCTCTGTCTTTCTGTCTCTCTTTCTCTGATTGGACCCTATTACAAATGTAAGGCAAGCTGTCTGGCACTGCGTGACTCCCCTGTTGCTTCTTTATTTTTTCCTTTAGACAGGGTCTCAACTAAGTTGCCAGGCTGACCTTGAAATTGTGAGCCTCTCAAGTAGCTAAGAGGACAAGTATGTACCACCATACCTGGTTTCTTCCTTTTCTTATAATGACAAGGATCAGTTTGGGGTCCCATGGTCATGATCTCATTAAACATTACATCCCTAAGGTCTCCATTTCCAAATATAGTCACTTTGGGAGTGACACAATATGGCCAGTAATACCTTCCAAACAGAGTTTTTATTCTCTTTAATTAAAAAATGATGCTGGGTACTCATTCTCCCAGAAAAAGAACTCAATAAGTGACTTTATTTGTGCAACGAAGAGTCCACACGGGTTGTGGGAGCGGGTGTGCCCCTGTGTCAGTAGCAGTATTAACACGATGGTTTGGAGCTCAGGTTCTCAAGCTAAGCTGTGATGGCTTCAACCTGACCTTGCTATCAGTAGCTGTGTGACCTCTGCTTTAGTTTTCTTATGTGCAAAATGTGAATGATAGAAATGCTTTTACTCCAGAGAAACACCATGATTGTTGTCAGGGATGTTAATGAGATAATGCATGAAACTCCTGAGATGTCATTTACCTTAAAACACAACTTTTAAATGCATGTAGAAGTATATATGTGTGAAGCTGGGCATGGTGGCACACACCATGGTATAGATACACACCGTGTATCTAGTAGGGGACCACATTGGAACATTAAGGGATGCTATTGCTTTCAGAGGAGAGTCAGAAACTAACCAAAAGTATTCATGCAAAGTTCACACAGGTGTCACCTGCAACTTGTGCCCAGTGCCTCTGGCTCAGCAACTGTTTATCTGCAAGATTATGACCTTTGTTGAGAAGATGGTATGTACAGCTGCCAGTGCAGACACAGAGAAGGGCTTGTAGGCTTGGACTGAGGTGCTGGTGGCCTCTGGGAGGACTTCCTGTCAGTGATGACATCTGAGTTGATACCTAAACAAAGAGCACAAATGGGGAAAGTACCTAGTCCTACCTGTGGTATACTGAGCGTCAACAGTAGTTATGCGCAGTGAAAATCCTCTGGTATTAGAGTTTGTAGCATTTTTAGCAGTAGAAGACTAAGAGTTCTAGCAAAAATGGTGTGAAGACCATGGCTTCTACAGATACTCTGAGTTTTAAAAAAAAATTTTATTTTTATTTTTATTTTAAAGGGGTAAAATTAAACACAACAAAACAGAACAAAATAGGACATGAGAAAGCTATGTAAGAGATATAAATTTCAAAGCTAGATGACCTGAGATCTTCATATCTATCATATTGTCTCGTTTTCTTCCAAATAGTTTTCCATGTGTTCGCATATAGAGAATTCATACAAAATAACATAGTGTAAAACTGATCCGAACAAATGAGGAAGGCGTTTTAGGTCTTCGAAACCAGACAAAGAAGTCGCTAATGGCTGTCGAAGAGTCTCTCGTTCACTTCAAAATAGCTGTCCATACTTTCATGTATATTGAAGTTCAACAAAACAAAACAGGCAGTGGGGGAGGGTTGCTTGGTTTCGCGGTACTCCAGGTCCTAGCATGGCACGGGTCCCAGTAAACACCAGTAGCTCCCATCCTGGGCTACTGGAGCCTGCCACACTCACAGCTAATCATGGTGGGTGGGGTGCTTCAAGCTGTTTTTTTCTAATGTATTGACCTTTTCACTACCCAAGATCTGAAATGATCAACAGACCATAGAAAGACATCTCTTTCGTCTCCTGCTTGAAACCACCAGCATCAGGAAGCTGCTGGCCTTGATTCAGGGCTAGAATACTCTGACTTTTTAAGTTGACTTATTAAAATGAATCCATATCTCATTTTAAAGATGAATAAGAAATAATCCTTAGTTAGTTGATAATTTTAGATGCCATTCAACTATGAATTTAATGTATTTATTTATTAAGTGGATATTCTGGGGGTGCCTCCTGTGTATCAGGGATGAAGATATGGTGCGGAGTGGATCAACATGTGGTCTTTACCGCATGAGTCTCTGGGAACTGGAGGAACACAGGTTAAGCTGGGCATGGTGGAACACTCCTGTATTTTCACTGCTGTGGGAGGCTGAAGCAGGAGGATTGCAATTTTGAGCCCAGTGTGGGTGATTTAGTGAGGCCTTGTCTCAAAATTAAATGAGTGTGCCGAGTGTGCTGGCTCCTGCCTGTAATTCCAGCACTTGGGAGGCTGAGGCAAGAGTACTGTGGTAAGCTAGAGGCCAGCCTGGGCTCTGAAGTGAATTCAAGGCTAGCCTGAACTACGTTGCAAGATTCTGTCTCAGAACACAAAACAAAACAAACAAACAACAGGAATAAAGGTGCAGAGTGTAGTTCAGCGTGGACGCTGCATGTTCAATCCTCCATTCTGGAAAAAGAAAAAAATCAGGGTCAGCTGTCCAGCTGGTGGAGGCACAGGTCTGGGAATACTTCCTCGTGTCTCAAGGTTCTGCAGAGCTCAGCGATGAGTAGAAATGAGCAGGGCACAGGGAGGGGAAGAGTTTCCCAGAATATGGAATGGCATTCCAGAAAACTCTAGAGATGAGCTGATGACATTTAACACCAAAGCCAGTGTGATGACTGGGGGTAGAGGAGGGCAGGGGAGAAACATCAGGATTTGAGACTAAGAGCAGTAGGCAACTCCCGAAAAGCCTTCAGTAGGTTGTCTGATTTGATTCTGTCTGTCTGTCTATCTGTCTATCTGTCTGTCTGGAAATGAATCCCTGGTCTTTGCACTGAACTACACCTCCACTCCTTTCCTGTTTTCTGTTCTGAGGCAGGGCCTCCCAAGTCACTAAACTGTTTAAGTTGGGCTAAGATTTGTGATCCTCTTGCCTCAGCCTCATGTCCTGCCAGATAAATCATCGCTGCGGCTGCAGGCAAGAGAATGGATTGGATATTTACCATGCAGTATTGTGATGCTTTAAAACACTTTTTTTGAAATGAATAAATAAATGAATGAGTAAAACACTTTTTTCTATTTGAGACTACAATTTGAGACTACAAATCCATATTTTGCAACAAACCAGGAGTGAAATGATGATAACTTAGACTAGGACGATGGAGCCAGAAATGTAGAGAAGGGGACATATTTGAGTGGGGCTAGGAGGTAAGACTTAGAAAAGTTACTTATGCAATAGAGACTCTCATATTTATTTATTAGATTCCCTGTCTAAATCTAAATCATATAAACCCCATTAGGTTTTCCAGTGGAGGCACAGGGCGTGGAGACAGAAGTGGCTTCTGGTTCCCATTAGGAGGCTGGACAAGGACCTGCTGCCCGCTGTGAAGGACATGTACTTTTTCATTTCAGGCTTTTACTAAGTTGTCTAAGCTGGGACTGAACATGTGATCCTCCTGCCTCAGCTGCCCAGAGTGCTGGTATTACAGATACTTGCCTGGTTTAATATAATACTTCTAATCCAAAGGCTCCTAAGAGAGAAATAGGAGTCGATCTAGTACCTAAGGCATTGTGCATCAAAGAGCATAGGTTTACGACTGAAAACATGCTATTTGTTATATAACTATCCGACTGTCCTGCATGAATACACATTTATTCTATTTGGTCCTGGAGGTCATGGATCTGAATCATTTTCACTGGGGGAAAGGCAGGAGCTGGGTGATGCTCCCTCCTGAGGGCCCAGGGAAAAGCCCAGCTTCCTTTCTGACCTGCTGAGGCTGAGCTGCTCAGCTCTCCATCTTCAAAGCGCTCCTCTGTGCTCCTTTCCTTTCTGTCACATGGCTTTCTTCTCTTCTGGGTCAGAGCATCTTTTTCCCTCTTGTAAGGAGAGCTGGCATTATGTGGGGGCCTCTCTAAATAACTCAGGATTATTTTCCTGCTTTAAGATATGTTATCACAGCCAGACATTGCAGTGCATGCCTATAATCCCAGTACTGGGGGAGGCTGAGGCAGGAAGGTTGCAAGTGGTACTGTCTAATTCCATTAAACTGTGTACTGAGGCTGACTTTACAGGTAGACACTTAAAAAAACTATGGTAAAAAACACATAAAATTATCATTTTAACTATTTTTAGGTGTAAAAATAGTGGCATTAAGTAGAGTTTACATTGATTTACATCTCTAGAATGGTTTTTATCTTCTCAATATCAAAATTCTACATTCCAAACACAATAAATCTCTATTCTTCCTCCATTCGGGCCCTGGGAACCTGCATGCCACTGTTAGTATCTATGAATTTGTCTACTCTAGGTACCACATAAAAGAATCACAGAAATTTTTAAATTGGGAACAGACCCCAGGGTCTTTGCGCTGAGCCACATCTCTAGCTCTAAGTTATCAAGATGTCCAGACCAGGCTGGAACCTGGGATCCTCCTGCACCAGCTCCCAGGTTACTGGTGGGTGCTATCATGCCCAGCAGGAATCACATGGATTCATTCATTCATTCACACTTTAAAATGATTTTTTGAACTTGAGATCTTAGTGCAGTATTCTCAGGTCATTGATTTGTATGGGTGTACATGCACGGTCCAGAAGATGTCTAATGTCAAGTGACATGCAACCGCAATAGGCACCTTGCCGTTAGGATTGACAGGGATACAGCCAGAATCAGCAGAAGGTGATGACTTCTACCATCCCAGTGAGGAGAAAACGTTTCCCTTTTAAAAGCAGGTCAATGCCGTGTGTGATAACATTTCCACGTTCCTTACAATCTGCTCTTGATTTCTCTGTTAAAAGAACTGGGTTGGAGTGGGATTGCCCTATAGCACAGAGGCAGACTAAACAGCTGCAAAATAAGCAGGAGCCATCCCAGTACCCTCCCACCTGGGAGAAGCACGGACTGACTAGCTAGATGAGCGCATGGAAAGCCCTGGCAGCGGTTCTAGCACGAGGAAAGATGGGAACCGTTTTCTCCTAGTGTGACTAAGCTGCGGTCTGTGTTTCGTAGGGACAGGGGTATGTTTGGAGAACTACACTGTCAGGGAGTCTGACTGCTGAAATACTATGGGGCGTTCTTATGCAAACGAAGATGGCCTGGCATCTTACAAGGTGTGACCAAAATATACTGTGAGTGTTTACATTTTTAAAAATTTATTATAGCAACAGATACATTACCATTAATTCCCCTCACAGCACTCCCCTCCTCAGCTTCAAGTGAATCCCACTATCTTCACAGCTGTTGCCTAAACTTTCGAACCTGGTACTATCAAGCAAAACAGAATAGAGGAACATCAGTCAAAACAAGATGGTGAGAGCAATACAGGGCTTCAAATCAAGATAATGGAAAGTCTAAGTGGGTTACTACGGCAGTATGTCTTTTACTGTTACGTTTTATTTTTTAATTGAAGCATTGCCAGTATCTTTCTATCCCCCTTCTAAGTGGTAGGAACCTGGGGGACAGCAGGTAAACAAGTGGAATTAATGTGTTTGCCACCCACTTGTCAGGACCCTGCAACCACTTTAAAAATTGATACTGGTAAATTACTTGAGCTAGACCATCAAATTGTAGGTGATACAAAAATGAAGAGTGGATACCTATCAACTGATTAGTCAGCTGCTTATTGATTCATAAATTTGTCCATCACATACCTACTGGAGACTCTGAGAAGCGGGAAACCAGACCAGGCTGGAGAGGTTGGTAGCAGTCATATCGGTCTATTCATTCTTCCATCTGTCTATGATAAGATTATCTTTAGAGGATAAAAGATGCTTCCAAAGTTGAGGAGTATAAGACAAAAGAGGCCTTTATTCCGGGAACATGGGGAGAGAAGACTGGTGCACTGGCTGCTGGAATCTGGCGATCTCTCTCACGGACACGTGGCGTGGGGGAATATAAATAGCCTAAGCTTAGGGCAGTGCCCTAAGGCCATTAAAGATGCACAGGTATTTCATTGGCACACGTTTCGCACCAGGGACAGGTTCTTAGGGATGGGGGTATAGGGTTACAGGTAAATCTCTAGGGGCAGGGGAGGCAGGAGCTCCTTAATTTGGCTGAGGCTTCTCCTGGTTAAAGTGTCCGGTCTGGGCCAGCAACTCTTTCATATCCTGTCTTATGATTATTAGGAAAAGGGGCGAAGATTTCTCTCTGTAACTATTTCCTGCTGGTAGGGGGCACTGTATTGGAGCCTAGGGGAGTCGACGGGATGAAGGTTGATGCCCAAGTAGACACTGATGCCAGGTGTTTTAGCCAGGACAACTTCACTGGTGAATGTACGTATGTCAGACTGGAAAAAACAAAGAGACATGATGTTGTTAGGAGACATGGCACTATCATATTTTAAGGACCCAGGTGAGGTAGATAGGAAGGTGCCTTTTATTTTGAGATGGTATTTTATCAGGATGACGTTGAGGTAGGAACATCATCATGGTGAGGTAGAATTCTGAAAAATAAGTGTGAGGTTAGAAGGAGTGAAGTTATGAGAGGTGATTACTCCCCCATCTGAAGGCATAAAAGTTAGGAGGTTAGGTGTGTAAAACTTGTCTCTGGTCTAGGAGTTGAGCTGGATAAAATAGGGGGAGTAGGAGAGACAGTGGCTGTACCAATATAGGGAAGGTGAGAGCTTAGGCTTTCAGGGATGTCACGTTTAACCAGACAGCTGAGGGTGGAAAGAACCACGACAGTTATCACATAGAACATTATGAAGATGATCTTACACATGATGTGGGAGTCTCTAGGAAAGACTGTCAAGAGTCCTGCTGCAAAAATGATCATTAATAGAGCGTAAGAAATTAGGAACCAAATCGGATAACAAAATATGACTTAGCCTGTTAACTGCGGCTGTGAGGCCTTTGTGAAACGGAGACGGGTGGGTGACAGAA